TTGGCTTGAGCAACTAGATGAACATCATGAAAACTGGGAAAAGATCATAGGGCACTGTTTGCTACTGGACTCAGTTAATTAATGGGTGTGAAGGATGCAATTCAATGTGAGTCTGGAGTTAAGTAGAGAGGACATAGGAGAAGATATAGAATTGTGTACTCATTTGCACAGGATAATGTGTTGGTGCATTGCAGACATTGCTCCAGATAGGGTGCCTAACAAAGTAATTAACACTCTGCCTTGAGTATCAGCAATCACAGATTACACTTCTCTATCATCTTTGAAACTCACCCTCTCTCTAACACAAGGTTACTCTTGTTTCTCTACCACCTGCCTAGAGCTCGTAGTCTCTTTTCTCCCAGATATCAGGAGGCAACCAAGAAGCCTATGTATTGCAGTCAGTGGTCAGAAAGACAAATTAGTGAATCCCAAACTGAGCAATTTTGGAACAACCCTAAGCGACGAAATAATTGAAAGCACTTCTAAACAGCTCTTCACACTAGTAACTTCCGATGTTTGGAGGGCATATCAAGGTCATCACACCTAGTCCAGCTTTAGGATAATTGTGAAAACACCCCAACCTGCTGTACCTTGGATCGTTTCCTATCTAACATCTCGGGAGTGACTGTAGGGGCCACTTCCAGAATGTTCTCACTAGGGAAGGTTGGGGAGAGTGTCCTATAGATATTTGCTAATATTACTAAAGACCTTTTCAAAACATATTTCCCCAGGCCCCTCTCATTCTTCCCAACCCTTAGTTTAACTCAAGACACTTATGGTTTCTGAAAGATCATTAACTAATCTAGCTAAAGGGTCATCATCTAAGGCCATTACTAGGAAACTTCCCATCTGGTGAAGGGTACATTTTAGTGTGTGTGTGTGTTGAGGGGGACATAGCAATGGAGACTTTTCAAGTATTTATTATATCACCTCTTTCTTATTCTTTATATAGGTTAAGACAGGTGTGATGCACCTTTTAGCATTTTCTCAAATTTAATAAAATTTATTCAGCTTTTAGTTCGCAGATGCATCTCAGCTCCTTGTGGCGGTCAGTGCTGTGGACATCCTGCCCTTTCTCCTTTTGGACCTGCTGTCCCTGGCTCCATCATCTCTTCCACCTGGGTGCCAGCAGCTGAGTGTGACTCATCTTTTCTGTCTTCCCCATTATTCCACATTTTTACAACAGAGGAGTAGTTTAAGTTACAAAGGTGTTTTTCCCGGTCCATTGAACACTTTCTGGGTGAACTGAAGGTCAACAGTAAGTTTCTCTATTGAAAGACAAGGTCATTGAAGCTGAGAAATAATGTTTTTATGTGGTCATCCACCATATCAAGGAAACTCCATTTTACCTTATGGGAGTTATTTTTCATAAACAATCAACCGAGAGACCCAGCTGTGTAGTCTTTTCCCACTTCATTTGTCTGCTTTGTTGAATTATTCTACAAAGTTTCTAAGGATCCACAGCTTTTATTCTGTCCTTTAGATAATAATGTGTTCTACTGCAAATTGTAATAATTACCATAAATTTAATTACTTAGAGGATATAAGGCTTATGATTTTAGGATTGGTAATATGTAAACGTGTGCAATGTTATTTTCACAGGTGAGGACCCAGAATAAAAGTCTATCTTGCAGCCACATTTCTTCAATGTGATGAATTCCTGGGACTCACAGGGACTAGTATTTTAAAAAGGGGCCTGCTGCCTGTCACTCTGCTACCAAAAATAAGCCAGTCTGAAGGAACCAAGTATGAGAGGACATTCCTGGAAACTTTTTCATTTGAGATCATTTGTGACAAAGCATTCTTGAATTCTTTTTTTGCTGTCTTTGTTTTCTACTCTCTGACCAAGCCAATTTCTGTCAAAAGATTTCATTAAAAAAAATCAAATATACTTCCCACTACACTAAAATGTGTACCTGAAAAATTAATCGAAGCTGGTAGTTTATCTCAACCATATAAAAACGTGTTAATGGGAGTTACTGCCACCACACAACCCATGGATTAATAATGCTATTTTAGGAGGTAGAAGAAGGGATTTTAAAAATAATTTTTAAAACAAGTATGGATGCTTGAGCCATAAATCTGGAGTCACGGAGCTCAAAAGTTCTTTGTTAACAGACTGGTGACCTTGAACAAGTTACTCTGCCTATCAGATCCTGGGTTTTCAGTTGTAAAGTGCAGCCATAATGACCACTCCGAGAGCCAGTAGGTGTGTAAGACATTGAAAGTGTTACACCAGTGAAAATCACCATCGATTTGCACAGCCACATTGCAGTACACATATCCGATGGCTTACGATTTCTCACTGCAGCTGCCCGATTTCCATCCAGTTCACTGCAAAGCGAAGGAGTTTATTTCAGAAAGGACCCAGGCAAAAGAGGCGTCTGGAGATGTTTTGCTGGATGGAGTTACAGAAAAACTGGGCTCAGGGTGAGTAAAACTTAGGTCTGAGGTTGCAGCCCCTTTCTCCCGGGTAAGGGGTGGTGTCATTACTGCAAGGGTGAAAGTGAGCTCAGCCCTTCTTAGGTATCATTCCAGGAAATGACCTTCTGAGCTCCGAGGCACGAGATATTTACAAATAGCCCAGAACACTACAGAGGCGAGGCGGCCAGGAGGACGCAGGGGGTGTGACGGGCCGCGGAGGATAGATGTTCCAGAGGCTTCTGTGGGAAGGCTCTCGGGAATCCGCGAGTGCCCTTGAGGGGCTGTCCGGGAGCCGGGGGCCGATCGCGGCAGGCAGCGACTGTTACCGCACCGGGGTC